TTTTACTTTATCGATATCGACAGGGCTATTCAACAAATATAAACTTTAATGCTTGTCAAGCTATAAAAAAGATCTTCATATTTATATGGTAAATATTAAGCTTTGCTCAATTGTGCCAAATGCTCTAAATATGCTTTACGGCAATCCATATTATCAGCGGGCCGATTGTGTGGAGCCCAAACTGGCTCGCCAACAAAGTATCTTTGCGCTTTTATATAGTTCTGTGGATAAGCAATGGTGAGAGATTGTCTTGATAGATTTTATATGAACTATGTGTACCTTGCTGTCCAGTGTAAAACGATGATAAATGCCAGCAGGTATTATAATCAAATCGCCCTTGATTACCTCTATCCGCAACCAGTTGTCTTCGCCACTGAAAATTAAAGTAAATTAGCTTCTTTCTATATGGCTTATAGTGGCAACACTGCGTGTTTGTTTACTTACTCGCGCACATCAAAGTAGCCGGAACCATCGATAACCAAGCGAATCTCCTCATCCGTGTGCAAGTGTTCCGTGTAGAAAGCCTTCAGCTTGTTTAGGTAATCAGGCAGGCATTGTTCAGAGCAGGTGATCTGCAGTATTCAAAATGCCATAAGAACTGTAGTGTGAGAAATTTCGTCGCACTTTTGCTAATGTATACCTGATCCTCGTAAGTATAGCCACGCTTCCTGCGCAGCTCTTTTAACACTTCGTCGTTCTCATAGTCGTCCGCATTGATCTAGAAGTGAACTCGGAAATAAGAGATAAGCGCGACATTTTCAAGGTCGTTGCTGGGCTTTATTGATTGAGTCTACCTTAAAGTACTCCACGCCTGTTTTCTTGTAGAGTGTCTCTAAATCTACATAAGTGACTGGCTCGCGCTTGTGCTCTAGTCGCTGATCGCTATCATCACTGTCCATATACCACACCTGCACCATTTTAATTAAGCAGATTTCTCGGAGCTTCAACGCCTTAGCTGAAAGTTCGTTCAAGCGATTCAACGGAACTAAATGAATGAGCTGACTCGCACTGAACTCGATGAATATAAAAAATGATTCTTTTCGCTCGATAGATTGTTGCAGCTTCGTTCACAAAAGAACTACTCAACTTCAAGACTATCGTTCATTGATATTTAAATTGGAATAAAATTCGAATTATTGACACTTAAATGTAAAATGTTTTTCCTTTTTTTAATGGTGACTTTTAAAAATGTAAATATTAAAAATGGGTTCAGGGTATAAAAATATAGCTCAAATATTTGTTTTTAAATTTTTGTAGTATTTTGTGCGATTGAGACCTATTTCTTTTTTTAATGATAGTTGAACTTATCGATAAGTACATTATTTTAATTTTCTTTTGCTTAAATCAATGACAGGTTTATATTTGTAATAATTAAAAAAAAAAAAAAATAAATAAAAATAAAATAGATGGGAATCCAACCAATTTTTCTGTAATAGAATGCGAAATGCGATTTAAATTGAATCTAGTCTCCTTAACTGTCAAACTGAATCTCGACGGCGTTGCCATATTTGTCGAAAAACAATATGTTTATTTTTTTGGGTAGGTTCTAACAAAATTAATATTAACTAAATTTTTGGATTTTTTTCTTGTAAATTTACCGTGTTTCGCCCGCTCTTAAAGATGAATTCAATTCGCTTGGTTCGCACTCTTACAAAATGTATTTCAGTGCGCCCGTACAGCATGGCTCCATGCGAGATCTTGGAGCTGCTTGAGGCGGGCTATCAGAAGTTGGCTGATTCCGACTCCAAGTCCCTGTTGAAGAAGCATTTGACCAAGCCAATATTTGACAAGCTGAAGACTAAGGTGACGCCCTCGTACTGCTCGACACTCTTGGATTGCATACAGTCCGGCTTGTGTAATCTCGATTCCAATGTGGGCATCTATGCGCCCGATCCGGAGGCCTATCAAACATTTGCTGAAATCTTCGATCCGATCATCAACGACTATCACAAAGGATTCGGCAAGGGCGCCAAGCATCCAGCTTCCTGTTTTGGATATGGTGCGGACTTCCCTGATCTCGATCCGGAGCAGAAGTTCATTTTGTCCACACGTGTGCGCTGCGGACGCTCCATACAAGATTTCCCGTTCAATCCGTGCTTGAGTGAGGACGACTACCGCAAGCTGGAGTGCATGATTACGAAGGTATTGAGTACTCTGTGCAATGAGCACGCCGGGAAGTATTATCCGCTAGTCGGCATGGAGAAGGATGTCCAGCAGAAACTGATCGATAAACACTATCTGTTCAAAGAGGGCGATCGATTTCTACAGGCAGCAAATGCCTCGCGGTTCTGGCCGACGGGGCGTGGCATCTTCATCAATCGGGCCCGAACCTTTCTGGTGTGGGTCAACGAGGAGGATCACATAAGGATTATCTCAATGGAGAGAGGCGGCGATCTGGGCCGCGTCTACGAGAGGATGATCATCGGCCTCGAGTCTCTGGCTTATTCACTCAAGTTCAGCAGCGACAGTCGTCTGGGTAACCTGACTTTCTGTCCCACCAATCTGGGCACCACGATCCGCGCCTCGGTGCACATAAAGCTGCCACATCTGGGCAAGGACAGGGCCAAGCTGGAGGAAATGGCCAAGAAGCACAATCTACAGGTGCGTGGCACCTCCGGCGAGCACACGGAGGCCAAGGATGGCGTCTACGACATCTCCAACACTCGGCGCATGGGACTTACCGAATACCAAGCTGTCGGGGAAATGCATAAGGGCATCTCCGCCCTGATCGAAGCCGAGTGCCAGGAGTGCTGTAAGAAGTAGGAAATCTAAAATGCATGCTGTTTCATTTGGTTCCCATTCTCATTCATTTATCTCTGCCTGTCGATCGAGCGATCTATCAGTTAATCGATCGATAAATGTATTCAGCTGGATCAGCTTACAGGACGTTAAATATGTTCGATCTAAGCGTACATTTCAAAGAAGGTAAACAGATTAGAATAGAACATAATTTATTTAAGTTTACATATTTAGATAGTAGATCTAATGGTTTTTCTGCCCTCAAATACAGCTATATTTACTAAAGTTATATATGTATGTGTATATGTCTGTTGCGCCTTCTCTTTTCTTCTTCCAGCCGGGCGGCGTTTGGGGGGTTCTGTAGGCAGTTTTCTCCTTATAGCTTATTGGACTCCCTTCTTCTACTTCTTCCACTTTTTTTGGGCTGTCTACTCTTCTAGTTTTTTCTACTAAAGCACACAAATTTTCATCAAGAGTTAATATGAGGGATTACTAAGGTATTCGTAATCTCTCATATTAAATCTAGATCTAGATCGGGACTAGAAAAGTAGAAAAGCAAACAAATTTTTATTTATGAATTATCTATATTCCATTTCCTTTCCTCTCCATTCAAAACAAGTTCTTTTTTTTTGTATTTTTTTTTTTTTTATTATTTGTTTTTTATAATTTTAATTCTTTTATAAACTTAAGACTTAAAATAAAAGTATTTAAAGTTTTTATGTTGTTGTTTTTTTTTGCTTGACACAAATGCCAAAATGTTTTACATTCATTTTTCATTAGATTTTTCTTTAAGCAAATATTTTTGATGTTAATTAGTTGTCCATTGTTGTTGTTGTTGTTGTCTGTGGGGTTTTGGTGTTGTTGTTGTTGATTGTGGTTGGTGGTTGGGCGGGCATGCCACGGCCGCTTATGGCCGCGACGCTCAAGGTAGACGAATGAAATGCCGAGTGCCGCAGGCAAACGAACGATCGGGCATACCCGTTACACAAATACCCTACGCAAATTCTACGACAAAACTAAAGCAAACGCAGCAGCTGGCAATGAGCCTTTCCAATAATGGAAAGCACACTCCAGGCGGCAGATAAACAACAAATGAACTCCATTCAGATGTTAAARCGGRGAARGYTTGACCCTTCCCCAAATGGAGTTCAMTTGGTTTTTGTTTTGTTTATTTTTTAAGGGATTAGAGAGTTAGCTGCTTACAAGCTCTTCTCGAGCTTGATCAGCTCGGTGATGCCATCGTACATCTCCTTGACGGCCTGGTATTCGGTGAGACCCATGCGACGCTTGTTGGAGATGTCATAGACACCGCCCTCGGCTTCGGTGTGCTCACCGCGAGTGCCGCGCACCTGGAGATTGTATTTGGCAGCGACTTCCTCGAGCTTGGCCTTGTTGGAGGCCAGCTTGGGCACCTTGATGTGCACGGAGGCACGGATGGTGGTGCCCAAGTTGGTGGGGCAGAAGGTCAAGAAGCCAAGACGGTCATCGTGGCTGAATGGGATGCGCTTCTCGATCTCATTGACGGCGGTCACCAGGCGACGGTAGATCTCGCCCAGATCGCCACCCTGCTGCATGGAGATGATGCGCAAATGATCCTCCTCATTGCACCAGACCAGGAATCGCTTGTTGTCGTTGTGGTAGATGCCACGACCCGTGGGCCAGAAGCGGCAGGCATTGGCAGCCTGGAGGAAGCGATCGCCCTCCTTGAACAGGAAGTGATCGTCGATCAGCTGCTGCTGGACGGCCTTCTCCATGCCAGTCAATGGATAGAACTTGCCCTTCAGCTCACCCTCCAAGCTGGACAGAGTGCTGCTGACCTTCTCTTCCATCTCCTTGTACTGGGCCTCGGTCAAGCAAGGGTTGAAGGGATAGCCCTGCATCGAGCGACCGCAACGGACACGAGTCGAGATCACATACTCGTTGGTGGGATCGACATTGCCGAAGCTGTTCACATCACCGAAGTCCGATGCGGGATGCTTATCGGTCTTCTTGAAGCCACCATGGTAGTCCTCAATGATGGGATCGAACAGATCGGCGAACACTGTGTAGGCCTCAGCATCGGGGGCATAGATGCCAACGCCAGAGTCGTGGTTCTCCAAACCGGACTGGATCACATCCAGAAGGGTCGACTTGAAGGTCGGCGTCACCTTGTTCTTCAGGTTGTCGAAGACCTCCTTGGTCAGGTATTTCTTCAACAGCGACTTCGAGTCAGAGGCAGCCAACTTGGCATAACCCTCCTCCAGTTTAGCGAGAACAGCAGCGTCAACCATGGTGTCTTGTTTGCTACAAGAATGAGAAGAGTTCAAGGAAAATAGAGTTAGTTAAGAGTTACTTCTGGGAATCAGCAATCACTTTAAAATTAAACTTAACTTTACTTTACCCTCTAGATATAAGCCATATTTAGATCTTCTTGGCTTCAATACACTTAAAGTACCATCAGGATCAGACTTTAATATCATATAGGATATTAATATATCATATATATTGGTCTAAAAAGATCCTATTGATCGAGTGGTCTACGATCGATGGATATATCAACAATAATCCATATGTAATTTTCGCATATTAAAATCAGATATTTTAAGATATTTTCTTTATCAGTTTAGTAGTAAAACTTATTTGTAATTAAATGACATAAAAAAAAAAACATATTGAGTAGTTTGTGCCGCTTAACTATGGCCATATGTCGGCGTAATTTTAATTATATAGAAAAATATATAATATATATTAATATATTGTTTATGACTAAATCTAGGTGTTCAGCTCCTTCTACCTCTAGGACATATTTCCTATTTCCCCCATCTATCTATCTAGATCTACATATCAATCAATCAAACTAATTGCTCAATATTTCCAACGATTTGGAAAACATTTATTTGCTCAGCTCATTTCGTTTGCTTTTGGTTTTTAGGCTCTGTCCATTCTGGCGCCCAAAAGTCGGCAATGTTTTTCGCCCATGTTTTTTCATCCATTTAGTTGGGAATCTCTAGAGACACGCGACAGCGCAATTTCAAATAGAGCCCATTAAAAAAAAAATAAGAAGCGAGCTGCCTCAAATATTTCGGGGTTGCTACGCCAAATCGTGGCTGCGTGAGGGCTGTTGTTGCTGTTGCTGTTTCTGCTGCTGCTTCAGTTAACTGAATGACTGAAATGTTTTTGCCGGCTGTCGCTGAATACGCATACCGAGTGTCGATAGGACAGGAGAGAGAGAGAGAGAAAGAGAGAGAGAGAGCGCGCGAGAGTACATAGCATGCAGCCTTTATATATAGCGTATGCTGCCCCGCCCTGCCCCCGTTTCGTGCGGCACATGCGCGCCTCTTGTCTGCCCGGTCCCGGATTTCGTGGTCTGGGCCCCGGTCAAAAACAACAAAAAAAAAAAAAAAAGGACCAGGGCAATAATATTTTTATGCCCAGTTTAGTATTCTTTCTATTTTTCTACTTTTTTCTCCTCTCTTCTTTGGACACCCTGACGTCAGCGGCAGCAGCAGCAGCGCAGCAGTGCCAAGCACACGCACTTAGAGGACCTATGACAAGCCCCAAAAAGCGGCGCACAAACTATTGTCTATGCTATGTACATATTAGCTATATATATAGAAGAGGTGGGACTACATAATTGGTGACTTGGCAAAACAAAAAAAGAATTTTAGCTCATTATAAAATCAGTATTTTTATACTCTATAAATATTTATATTTCAAAATTTTTAGTTTAGCTTCTTTATAATTAGAGTTTTTCAGACCGCCCTCGTATATAAAATATGCCAAGATATATCAAATATTTAGAATATCTATGGATAGTTGAATAAAAAAATGTTTATTTTTACATCTTTTTAGCTTTTTTCAACTTTTACACTTTTCAAACTACCCTCGTATAATATACATATTCCTCATATAAGTTTAATATATAAACAAAATATATTTCAGCAATTTTGATAAACTATTTTCCCCCATTTTTCCAGCTTCACTTTGATTTCTTTCCCAAACTCTATTTCGACATTCTTGAAACCACCCTCGTATTTCACATATGCCTGCTGCATCTGAAAGCATCAACTGGCATATGCCTAAATTATATTATCCATATTTATTAAGGTTTAATTTTTCCATTTATCTTGCGGCTTCTTCAGCATTCTTCAGCTTGCCAACTCTTGTTGCCACCCTCGCATATATAAATATACACACCCATCTTGGCCAGCGGCTGGCGTTGTGGCCGTGCCGTTGGGCTCGCCTCCGTTGGCTGTGGCGCCGGCATCGCCTTCGATCACCTTTTCCTTTTTATCCTTTGAAGCGCACAAACCCATTTTTTTAAGTTTTTAGTTTTAAGTTTTAAGATTTAAGTTGTAAGTTTTAGTAAAAGTTCTCTTAAGATTTTCGTTGATTTGTTGTTTTTGTAAAGATTGGTTTTTGTAGTAAAAATTTGGCCTTGGTCAAAAAGTTTGTCTTTTTATGTTGGTGTGTGTAAAAAGTTGTTGTCTTTGATTTTGTTTTTGTGGGACTCTTTGCAGGTAAAATGAAATCACAATGCAGCTGCTTCAACTACTTTACACACATTTAAAGACATACATATATGTATATATAAATCAGACACGCACACACACACACACACAAACAAGTACACACACGCACACACTCGCTTAATTCGTATTGCTTTTTGATTGATTAGAAATATTTTTGGTGGTTCGCTCGTCTTAGAGATGCTCTGAAAAGTTGTCAAAAAGTTGTCTTCTTGGGGTCTATCCTCTGGTCTGGTTTTCGTTTCGTTTTTGTTGTCGGTTGTTGTTGGTTGCCGCGCCCAAAGGTATACTACAAAAAGGCTACTACACAAGAGTCTAGGCTACACACTAGGGAGCAAAAAAGGACGCGCGCGCGTGTGCTACACAAAGGTGCTAAGGAGCAAACTGCCAGCTGCTGACTAAAGGACGCGCCGCACAGCGAGCCACCAAAATCGCGTTCGATGATGCGGGCTTCGGCTGCGGCTTCAGCTTCAGCGTCGGCTTTAGCTTCGCTTAGACTCGTTCGCTAGCTCTCTCTCTCTTTCTCTCTCTCGCTCCACCGTAGCTTGGCAATTCGCAACTAGCTAAAGGACGCGCCCACCCGGGACCAACTCGCAATTCAGCACGAGAGTCAGACAGCAAGAGCGAGAACAAGACAGGGAGAGAGAGAGAAGCGCGCGCGAGGGTTGCCCGGCGAGGGTTGAAAAAGTCTGCAGAAAGCATTGCCTAGCCGCAGGCGCCGGCGGCATGCAAATATACATATGTATATGTAAAAGTGCGCAGCAGTATTTGACTAGCAAATACCCTCCCTAACCACTATGCAAGTAGTGTAATAGTAGTACAGCACTACAAGTCAGTTAGTATAGTATAATAGTAGTAGTACAAGTCAGTTAGTATAGTATAATAGTAGTACAGTACTAATTAGGTAGTATACAGTAGTACAGTAGTACAGGTCATTTAGTAATAGTAGTACAGCAGTACAGGTCATTTAGTATAGTATAATAGTAGTACAGTAGTATAGGTCATTTAGTATAGTATAACAGTAGTACAAGTCAGTTAGTATAGTATAATAGTAGTACAGTACTAATCAGTTAGTATACAGTAGTACAGGTCATTTAGTATAGTATAATAGTAGTACAGTAGTACAGTTAGCTAGTATAGTATAATAGAGGCACAGCACAGCATAATATAACAGTATGGGTTGGTAGTGCAGGCTACTATATCTATAAGTAATATTATAATGTAAGTGGTTCATAATACCGGTTATAATACTATTCTCCTATTTAGTAGTTTAAATTAAAAAAAAAAAAATTATATAAAATATGCAAACTAAAATAGTAGTAGAAATAGTAGTATTAAAATTAATATAGGAGTACATTAATTGAAGTAGTAGTAATACAGTAGTTGTAGTACAGTAATTTGAGAACAAAGAAATTGTAGAGCAGTAACAACGTAATAGAAGTAGAAGTAGTATACTAGTAGAAGATTACTCGAAAAAGTCGTAGAAATAGTAGTACTAGTAGTAGTAGGACAATTATTAGTAGCACAGTTGTAGAAGTCGTCGCAGTACATCAGTAGTATGGTACGTAGTACAGTTGGTAGTAGTCCAGCTATGCAGCATTAATAGCTCATAAACAGTTCACATAGATAGATTCAGTTAAGCATCCCAAACTAGTATTTAGAGATATACCCTATAATCTCTGCCCACCCAGCATACCCTTTATCGGATATATTTGCAGCCATGGGGGTATCAAAACTGTTGCCGGATGAGAGCGCAACATAATGCGGAAGGATATATTTATTTGATGCAGCAACCACCACCAGCTGCAGCACCAACAGCAGCAGCAGCAGCAGCAGCAGCAGCGGCAGCGGCAGCGGCAGAGGCAGCGTGTGGCAAGCAGGGCGCAAATCGATAAAATTTGTGACACGCGGCAGCTGAAAATTGTTGCGCCTAAAAGGCACAAAGGGGGAGGCAGGGAGAGGGAGTGGGAGAGAGAGAGACAAAGAGTGGGGGCGAGTGGCGGTCAAGTCAAGTTGAAGTGACGGCTCGAGTGTGAAATGAGGGCTGCTAATGGCAGCATGCGGCATGTGGCATGTGGCATAGAAATCACGGCCAACAAGCGAAGTAGAAGAAGAAGAAGAAGAAGAGGCAGCGCATAAACTCGTCGAGTGCACGTGCAATCGGCTCTAGCTGAAGGAGTTGCAAGCTTTTTGAGTTACTTTTCACGCCTGTGCAGTGGCGTGTAAAGAGAGGGGGGCGTGGCAGAGGCATGTTGCATGCTGCTGCATGTCTGGTACCAGATTATTTGATTTCGTTTTTTATTTATTTATTTTTCTTGCTAAATATGAAGTTGGTTTTGCTCATTCGCCTCTAATTTTATTAGTCAGCACTGCAATGATTCTCCCTCTCTCTCTCTCTCTCTCTCCAGTGACTAATTGCATTTCCCACTCTCTCACACTCTGACTTCAATGACTAATACGCAAAGCTGCACCTAATGATGGTAAATTGAAAACAATTTATGTTACATTCATTCACACAAATATGACTAAGATCTCATATATTATAGAGCTGCTCGATTAGCTAGAGTATCTGGATGCTTATAAATATTTTACATAATGCCTGGTCTAGTTCATATACAGCTTATCTCGAAGTGAACAGAAACTTTCGGCACTTCATATACCAGACGTTATCTGTCGAGTTCTAGCTATTAGCTAGAATAAAAAACTTGCTAAAAGGTAGATTATCTTGCGAACTATACGTATACAGTGCATACTCGCTAAGTGAAATTGCAAATAGCTAGTCTAGCAGGCTTTAGTTACGCTCTACTGTATAATGCTTACTTTTGATAGTATCTAAGATCTTAAAAACTTGATTAACTCTAGATATGCTGGGTATATGTAAATATATATTTATATTTTCTTATGTGTATATAAATCTATATATAATATTGCTAGTCAAAGTCTGCTCCAAACGTTTATTCCAGAAGTTTCTTTTCATCTCATTTGTTTTGCATTTTCTTATAATTTGTTATGTATCTATATCTTTCTGTAGAATTGTCTCTCATTTTCTTATCAACTTTCCTTTTATACTTTCTTATAGAGATAGCTAACATCGCTTTTATCAAAGCTCTAGCAAACTGATCTGTCTATGATATAAATAAAACTTATCTATATAAGATATATCTATTGTTTTATTGCATATCTATCATTCCATAAGCAAATCAAGTCTACGTTTCTTTCACTCTTTCTTCATTCAAAGTCATTTCTAGTTCAATTGCTTAGTTTGTCACACTAATTGGGAATTTTGCTTAGCTCTGGCTATCTTTGAGAAGTTATATGATGAAAGAGGTGTTCCATGTTAATAGTGCCCCATAAAGATAAGCTGATTTATTTAACTTTTATATTTTGCACTAGTTTCGAGATTGTGGGCGTTTCAAAGTGCTTGGCGAGTGCAATTGCTGTAGATAGAGCTGATATAATAGCTCCGAAAGGCGAACCCCGCCTTCCTCTCGGGCTGCTGACGACAGACCAACTAATCAATTAACTCGAGTGTGTACCAAATTTATGTCACACACACACACACACACACACACACACACACACACACACACACACACACACACACACACTCACTACAGTGAAGAGCCTAGTCCAAGTCCTCGCCTTCTCTTGGCCGTGACAACAAAATGCGGCACTTAAAAGCAACAGCAAATCGAATTAAGCCCCAACAATTGAAAACTGATTTCATTAGCCGCCATTCTGCCCCACCCCATCGCATCCCCCACTCTGCTATATAGACAAGCCACAGCCCCGGGAGCGCGCAACCTGACAACCCTGACAACGGCAACAAAAGGAACGCAAACAGGATGCAGCTTTAAATTCAATTTTTTAAGCACAGCTAAGCAAATTGTTGACAGTTTTTTATACACTTTTATATACAGTGAGCACCCGCTTGAGCGTATTGAGTTTCAAGAATTATCATAGATTTTTTGCCTTAAGCATTTGTGGAATTTCTAAATAATATTTTTGAATCAAATTTATTATTATTTTTTTTTCAAATTTGTAGCATATGAATTTTATTTTTATACAAAATTATTTTTTTTTTTATATAGTTTTTAAGTCATTTATTATTAGGTAATTTTTATTATTAAATTTTCTTCCTTTTTTATTTATTTTTTTTTAACTTAAAATATGTATTTTATTTAAAACTCGAAACTATTAAAAATAATTTATTTGAAATTATTTTTTCTGTTATATATTTAAGCAATCTACAATAAAGATTTCGTCTATGTCAAGCGAGTTTTCACTACATATATTATATATCATCTATTTAATTTATGGCTCAGGCTCTACTTTATAACCCGTTATTACGAATGACGCGAACGAGAGCGCGTTAAATGAACGCGAATTGAAATTGGCAACTGTTAACGGTTAACTGTGATACGCGAATGTTGAATGAAGTTAACAAATGCCTCACAGCAAACGCAGGCAGAGAAATAGCGAGAGAAAGACAGTCAAGAGAGAAGGACAGAGAAAGAGAGAGGGACAGAGAAAGAGAGAGGGAGCGACAGAGAGACAGAGAGCGAGAGAATGTGTGCAAGGGAGAGTTGGCCAAGTCAGCTGATAAGCTAACAGAGATTGCCGACTGCAATTGCCGGCGTCGAAGCTCGAAAGCGAAACGAAGCGAAAAGTTGATCTCGCAGCAAACAGCTGACGAAGCGGATAAGATAGTCCACTTAGGGCCAACTCAGCTCTATTGGCTGAAGGCTAGACAGACAGCCTAGACGGGCGGCAAGCAAGGGAGTGAGAGTGATCGACTAGCAGATACCCTGTAGACAGCCATCGTTGCAGATGACAGATTCTAACTTTTAACTGTTATTTAGCAAAAATGCGGAATTTCTTAGAGGGAAATTCATAAGAGGAATAAAGGGTTGTGTGGGAGAAAAATGGGAGAGCGAGATCTATTATAGAGCATAAATAATTGTTGATTTTTGGGGCTGATTTTATGGAATTTATACTCTTTTATGATAAGGAAAATTTGGCAACTAAAAAAAAAGGGCAATATCTTTTAAATGGAGTTACCCCTTGAGCCACTTCCAAGAAATACAGGGTATAACGAAAGCGAAAGCCTGGCCAAGAATCGCATTTGACTGGCAGCCAAAATGCAATGACTTACTGCAATTTCCCAGTTTATGGCCAAATCGCATGGGTTATTGAACCAAAGACTCGAAACTCGACGGGGGTATTTGCCTGTCATCCGTCACCCCCTCCCTGTCCCTCTCTAAAAGTCCATGTGTGTGTGACTTAATTGCAAAACGGGGAACCATGCTGCGCTTGACGCGATTGCACAAAGAAATTGGCAGGCGATGCAGACAAGTGCGCCAAGTGTATTTGGCCAACGACATTGACGTGGCCCAAAACAAAACGTGCGCGAATGTAACGGGAAATTGCTATTGCTATTGCAATTGCCATTGGAAAACAAGTCGCAAATCGAAACAGTTTAATGACAAGCGGCAGACATAGAGCTATGGCTTAATACGATTGGGAAATGTTGCAAATGTTGCGTTATTTTATTCATGGAGAAATTAATGTTAATAAATAATGGGAAAAACTTAATATAGTTTATCCAATGATATACTACAGATATATATATAGTTGGGAATCATGCCAAATGTTGAGGTATTTTCTTTAGTTTTTAAATAAATAATGGGAAATTATACGAGTAACTGGGAAATAGGACAAATGCTGCTATTTTATATATAGAAAGCTTTTTAAAAATAATTTTATAATTTGTTAATAAATACAGCAAATTATAGGATTTTTTAGGTATTTATTATCATTTAAATCGTATTGGAAATTTTTCATTTAAAAAAATATACTTTGCATTTTTCATTAGCTGTGCGAAAATATCCCTTGAAATTTCACTTAGCGTCAAGAATTTCGTCACTTAATTAGCTTTGAAAATGTTAACTGATCGCCCTCATGCCTCATCAAACACTTAAGTCTACCCTCTACGAAGTATTTAGTAACCACCCTAATGTATCAAGGCTCAGCCAGCAACAAGCAATAAATACCCTATATTTATAAGGGGGAGCAGTAAGAGGGCTGCAGCATACCCGCATTATTCAAGAGTTGAAAGAATAAATTAATATATATTTGATGAATTTTGTTGCTAATTTAATTAAAATTCTTTTGGCAAATGCTCAATAAGGCAGAGCGAAAGAGCGCGTTATATACTATATATGCTTATGTTTCATTTTGTGTCATAAATTTCGCAAGAATTTTCGCGCTTATTGCCCGGATGTCGTTGATTTATAAAATGTCTGCGAAGACAATCAGCGTACAAATGGGACAGACGCGACAGTCATTTAGCTGCCGCAGCAGCAGCAACAGCAACAGTGTACTGTATCATTTTATGTTATATAACTCCAACAGTGGGCTCAAACTTTACAGTAACTGTTAATAACAACTGCAGTCGCAAGGCAGGCACACTTTTTCAGCTGCTACTGTAACTGTTGAACGTAACTGCAAACGTTGATGTTATTTAACAGCCCTGTTAAAAGCGCGTTATAGCTTTGATAAGACTGAAAGCTACAAGAAAGTCCTGTGCGCGCGCGATAAAAGCTTGCACAGCAGCTTTGCTGCTACAGTAGCAGGCCAATATATTGTGCTAGCTGCTCGTGATTTGTTTACACATTCTGACTGAAATTACAAAAGTTTGTTTATTTGTTTTGAGGTTCGCTGCCAAAGCAACTCAGACAGAAACACACACCCGCACATTCATATATGTGTGGGTGTATATATGTGGATTCGTCTAGCTGGCAGTTTTTTTGTTGCTGTGCCTGTGTTGGTGGGAATGAGAGGCAACTAGTCGTGCAATTTAATTTCCTGTCTAGCCGAAGCTACAAACCCAACCCCTATATTTTTTTTGGGATTATGCAACTCTTGACAGTTAGTTAGCAACTGGAGCGCGCTTTTGTTTACTCTTTAATAGAGAAAAGCGTGAAAATTGCCGTCAGAGGTTTTCCAATGCAAACGTTGTTTAAGCTATTGCTTCTCTATCACTCCCTCTCTCTCTTTTTCTCTCGACCGCTTTAATAGATTTCAATTGAATAATTAACGGTTGGCTCAGCAATTTGTATAACAAATTTGCGCGAATCGCTGTTAGGGAAAAAATAATGTATATATAAAAACAAAATAAACAATAAAATCAAATAAACAACTCAGCTTTTTCCCTAAACAATTTCGATTCTATTTTTTGTAGCACTCAACTGGATAATATATCGCGGCTATAAATATATGCGCAGGTATTGATTCATATATACCGCATGTATACATATATAATACTTATGTATTATATATGCTTTGATTATGTTTATTTGCTTTGGTCCCGTATTTTTAGCCGCAACTCGACTTTTAGCTGCTTACTAAATTTAGCCAGGGCCTGGGGTGCAAGTAATTTACGCTGCCTGTCAAACTGTGGCACTTATATAACGCAAAGCTGGATGCTAGCTAATGTTCAGCTGATACAATATCTTTGGCCATTACTGTAGGTGTGGGTGTCGATGGCTATCTGTGTGAGTGTGTGTGTGTCTGCCTGTGCGATAAGTGATTATGCAATGCGCTTTGGCAATGACCGCGAAATACCTATATATCTTTGTTGTTTCGCAGTAGCAAGTTCAAGGCTTATTTGTAATACAGTTTGCCAGCTAAGGGCGGTGGGCGTGGCGGGCGGCGAAGACTGCCAAGTGTCGCTAATGCTGATTGCACACATTTTTAACTTTTTCTGTTTTTTTTTTTTTTTTTCTTTTTTGGCAACAACTATTGCTAAAGCTCTTATCTTTCGGCACCAGTCGTAATTAGTGGTATTTTTTCTTGTTATCTTTAATAGATAGTGGTATATTTTTTGTATTGTTTGTATATTGTGTTCAGCAACGAAATTGCAAGCGCGCTCAACAGTTGCACAGCAGCTGCCTAAAGGCTGGCCACAAAGCCCTGCTAGCTCTGCCCTTAGGGCAAAAACCAGTTTTATTTTTTTTTCCCATTTCGCAATTGCAAAAGCGGTTGGAAGAAAGAGCCGAGAATAAAAATATGGATACACCGCCATAAAACGTTGCATCTATATTGAGAAATACTTTTTGTTTGTATTTTTTAATTTTTATGCCGGTAACCGGTTTCGTTGCGCTTTTGGCACATGCAAAATATAATAAAAGCTGGCAAACTGCACTTTCGACTGACCGCAAAAGTAATTAAGAGTTGGGTGACACATCCTATTGCATAAACGTTCAGATCTCACAACACTTAAAATAATTTTATTTTATTTTATGATTATTATATATTAACTATGTATATCTATAATTTTATATCACTTGATTGTCTTTATGGTATTAGATTATTCTTTATTTCTTTGGAGAACGGCTCACCTTTGCAACCGTAGAATTCAACGTCCAACGTTACAATGATCAGAAAATTTTGTTCTTTAGCTCAGCTGCAGTCGACTGTCAGTCTGACCGCGACGCCGGCAGCAGCAGCGCTAGCAGAGGCAGCAACGACAGCGGCACCCTTCTTCTTTCTTTCACTTTCAAACTATTCAACTCACACACACAGTCAGATGTGAGCGCAGGCAGCGAGAAAGAGAGACGAGCAAAAAAGCTTTGCTTTGGCATTTYAACTGTGCTCATGTGTATGCGTGTGTGCGTGAGGCCTGCCTCCTGTTACGCTGTCTGCCTGTTGTTGCCTGCTGCTGCTGCCACTGTGCGCCTGTATTAGTGGCCTAGCAATTGACGTAGGACGTGACGTATGACAAAATGAAAAAACAAAATAAAGCTTTGCGTTTTATTCATAAAATGCGAGCGAGAAAGAGAAGTGAAATGGCTAGAAAGCTTCAGCCGGTAGCAAGTGTAAGCAGTACGGCCAATCGCTTTACCTTGTTGTGCAGTGTAAGTGTATGCGAAAAAGGAAAGTGTTTGCAACAATGCAACTGTGTACGAGTGGGTGCGGATATGTGGCGAAGGCAGCAGAGAGCGAACGAGAGAGAGAGAGAGAGAG